CCTACTGGCCTGGCACTTGTTATATAACCCAGGCTGATCTCAAACTCACTACAATCCTCCTGCCTCAGCCACCAGAACACTAGGATTTCAAGCATGTACCATCACATGCAGCTTTGCACTATTCCCTGGAACTATTTAAGGGCATATATATACACAGGCATGTTTCCTTACTTTGTGTACACTACCAGCCTTACTCTGGGACCAAGATTCTTCAAACTAGAGATTTTTTTTTTCAAACTTTAAATGGTAATACAGTACACATGCTGTAAATTTCCTAGAACCTTCTTGGGGATATGACAGCATCCTGAAACCAAGATACTAGTATTTCTCCAGTGAAAGCTACTATCACTTACAGTAAGTACAGTGCACAGACTCCAAACACTCTAAGAAATGATTGGGTAAGAAGTTGCCATTAAAAAAAATAAATTTTGGTAAGAATTTATTTTCAGAGTTGTTTATGTACCAAAATTATACATAAAAGATTATGAAAAAAAAAGAAAAAAAAAGATTATGGACTCAACTTGGTCTAAACAGTAAATTTCACACACCACTAAAGCCAATTAATTTTCTCTATGGTTTGGAAGTTTTAGGAAATGTAAGTTTTAAAGTAATTAATCTGTATTTTATAAATGTCCACCTCTACTTCACAAATGAACATGTACAAAAAGTTTTTCATCTTTTATTCTATTTAATTTTTATTGCATCTTCACAAAAGTCTCAGTCATTACTTGTAGGGAGGAGTAAACACGTGCAATTTTACTTGAATTGTGTGAGGAGCCAGCACTAAATGGAAAGATCCTAAGCACTGTGATAAGTATTTTCATGGAGTTGTGGCTATTCACCTAGCATGTGTAAGAACTACCAAAAATAAAATTTCTGTAAATATTTTCATATAGTTGGCAGGTACCAGTCCTAATAGGTGTTTTGGGCCCAACCAGATGGCTCAGCAGCTACAGGCACTTGCTGCCAAGCCTGGCAGCTTTAGTTTGATTACTGGAATCCACATGGGGGATGGAGAGAACTGACTCCTACAGACAGTCCTCTAACCTCCGTACCTATGCCACGACACACAACGTCCCACCCAAAACCAGACAAATCGATAAATAAATAAAATGTAAATTAATTTAATAGGTGAATAGGTATTTTGTTTTTCAACTCATTGAAATTGTAAATAAATGTTTGATCATCTTTACCCATTCACAAAAACCTAGGTACTACAGGTTACTTACTATGACTTCATACTCTCTGAAAGAACAAAATAAAATCCCAAAACACAAACCCTAAGACTTTTCTCCAGCACATGTGTTAGTTAACTAAAATACAACAGGCAAGCAATGTGAGGATCTCCGACAACACGACACAAATTATTTACCCAAAGGTTTCAAACACTACAAATGAGTATCACTTAAGGTCCTCCCTTAAAATAGTTCAACACTGACCTTCAAAAAAAGCTCAGTGGATAAAGGTACTTCTCATCCAGCCTTGACAACCCCATGACCTGAGTATGGTCCCTAGAACGCCACATAATAGAAGGAAAGAATTGACTCCCAAAAGTTGTCCTTTGACCTCCACACGGGTGCCAAAGCAGGGCACACATCGTCAAACTCACACAAACTAAATGTTTTGTTTTGTTTTTAAAATTACAGAAGCAAATCTCTCTGAAAACTATTTTTATTTATTTATTTATTTATTTTTTTGGTTTTTCGAGACAGGGTTTCTCTGTGGTTTTGGAGCCTGTCCTGGAACTAGCTCTTGTAGACCAGGCTGGCCTCGAACTCACAGAGATCCGCCTGCCTCTGCCTCCTGAGTGCTGGGATTAAAGGCGTGCGCCACCACCGCCCGGCTTTGAAAACTATTTTTATATAATATAAAGCAGCTCACAATCTGCAACTTCAAAAGAGCTGCTTATTTTGGAGCCAAATAAAGCAACTAGCCTCTGCAAAGAAAAGAGATAATTTAGTCTGTACACTGATAGTGTCCTGGAATCCAGCCCTATATATGCACAACAATGATTAGTACTACTTATGATGTCACGCTCAAAATGAAAATGGCATGCATCTAAAACTGTGTAACAAGAATATCTGTAACAAAAATCATTTCCTATATCAAAGAAAACATAAAGCTACCAAAAATGTGTCAAATGCACATAGGAGAAGTGAAATGAGTGTAAAGACATCATGTATCAGGCACTGGCTAACACTTTACATCTTATCGTGTGCAACTTCTTTTCCTATGAATGGTTTGCCTAGCGTACTGAAAACATTTTACAGAAAGTTCTAGTATACTTCATCATCTCATGCCATTTTTAGCAATACCTGTTATATCTAAGCTTCTGAATATAGTAACCAAATTCCATGTTGCGTTTGTATCAGATTATTAAAAATATTTTTTCTAGGCTGGGTGATGGTGGCATATGCCTTTAACCCCAGCACTTGGGAGGCACAGTTAGGTGTATCTTTGTGAGTTCAAAGCCAGCCTGGCCTACTGATAGAGTTCCAGGACACCAAAGCTACACAGAAAAACCCTATCTCAAGAAAACAGAGAGAGAGAGAGAGAGAGAGAGAGAGAGAGAGAGAGAGAGAGAGAAAGAGAGAGAGCGAGACTGACTTTCCAGAATAAAACCAAAAGAATTGCAACGTTAAGTAAACAGTAATTGTGAAATATAGCTCATAGTACTTGCAAATCTTTAAAGTGATAACAGCTATTATTTCATGAACTTTTTTAAAAAAATTATAAAAAAAATTTATATTGTTTTAAAGACTAATTTATAGAGTTACAATTTGGAGAGATGAAAAGGTTGTGAGGATGAATGCCAGTGATGGTTGGCACAATGTCAATGTACTTAACATCACCCAACTGTGCACTTAGACATGGTTTAAATAGCAAATTTTACATATACATATATACAATGAAAATGTTACTTTGTTTTAGGTGTTTGATGAAACACCACAGCCATACCAACTTAAGAAGGAAAGAGTTTATTTAGCTCACACTGCCATACCACGGTTCATCATCAAAGAAGTCAGAATAGGAACTCAAACAGGACAGAAATCTGGAGGCTTGAGTTGATGCAGAGGCCATGGAGGGGAACTGCTTACTGGCTGGCACCCCGTGGTTTGCTGAGCCTGCTTTCTTATAGAACCCAGGGATGGCCCTACCCACAGTTGTCTGTGCCCTCCCCCATCAATCACTAGTTAAGAAAATGCTCTACAACTGGATCCCATGGAGGCATTTTCTCAATTGAGGGTCCCTCCTTTCAGATGACTCTAGCTTGGGCCAAGCTGACACAAAACTAGGCAGCACATAATTCATTCTAGTATTTCATAGTAAAATATTCATAACAGATATGATATTATCACTTTAATGATGTTTCAGCTTCTTTCTGTGTATAACAGGCACCAGGCACCTCACTCCAAAGGTATAAAGAGCACATTTTGACTTGGTAACACTTGGCACTCCAGAATCACACCTATATTGGTTCTCAATGGCATGTCATCAAGGAAGAACAGCAGTAAGCTTGCTGTCAAATGAGCATCTAGTTTCAACCTAACAGCAATATGTCACCTTAACAAACATGGGTCTTGACTGTACTAGGTACTCAAGGAAGGAACTAAACTGTTCCTGACCACATGAAACAATTTAGGAAATATTTTAATTTAATTAATTTATTTAATTAAAACAAAATGGCCATGTCAGCAGGTATAAACCTTAGTTCCAAGCTCAAAATAACCCTAATAATGATGAGCAACATCACTAACAAGAGATGAATATGAAATGGAAACCACTTCTATCTGGGATTGAGGATGAACCCGGTGAAAACTTGAGGTTTACAGATACTATTTTTAACTGAACTTTCTGGCCTAGGATCAAAGTTTTGCTAGCAAAATGCCAAAGTGAAAATGCTGGCAGTGACGCCTGAGAAGCTTTGTTTTATCTACAGAAAGGCTATGACCTCCATGCAACTAATCCTACTCTGAACCAAAGAATTCCAAAAAACTGTCCCGCGAGAACACACGAACCCTCTACCAAGCAAATAAATAAATAAATAAAACTCTTCCCCCACTCCCCGGCCCCGCCCCCCATGCAAAAATCTCTACATTCTACACATGCAACAGAAAGATACCCACTCTCTAGTCAGTTCCTGCACTGCGGCCAAACATGACTGAGTCACTACAAATGATTCCAGAAACCTCAAAGGACAACCAACGGCCTCAGAAGAAAAGTTAGTCAGTGGAAAGGGAGGAGACAGTTTTTCATCAGTCACCAGGCTTCTCCTAGCTGGGCCCAGAACTGACATGCTTTCTGGCACACGCTGCCTATCACCCACCCTTCAGCTCGTCCTCCAAAGCTAATAACCTGAGTATCTTTTTCGACTCCTCCTCCTAGGGATACATGTTCACACCATTTTCCCCCCAGAAATGCATCTCTAGCTGCACACGAACCAAATTTGTTTGCCAAACATAATTGCTTCCCCCAAGACCAGAAGTATGCCAGCATTCTACGCGGCGTTTATTGGAAAACGTGTTGTTTTCTTAATCCAGTTCCAGCCTTCATCTATCTAGCAGCCTTCCCAAGGTTCTTAATTTGGATTTTGAGGGCTATGGGAAAGACAAGATGAACGGAGAAGATTTATTCCGTCCTACAACTCAGACTCGTTTCTTGGCTTCGGAGCAACAATCTCCGGAAATTTAATTTACATAAATTCAAATGCACTAAATAGCTACTATGGCATGTCCAAGAGCAACTCAAAACGGCGAACTTGAGCTGTGCGTTCCCAGATTCCTGACCAAGAAGACGGAGTGAGGGCAGCTCTTTGTCATTTACCCCAGGTGGCACTCCCAACACGGAGCATCGGGTTTCCTTCTCCCTCGATTTCACCCTAGCTCCCACGCTGCGTGACACTTTCAAACTGGCTCGTCTGGGGTAGGAAGCACAACCAATCCTCCACCTTTCCGCCCCAAACCGACTGGGTAGGCGGGAAGAAGCCCAAGGGTGTTTCCTCCCAGCGCGCTCCAAGAAAGGGGGCGGCCGAGGTGACACCCGCTCCAGTGGGAGGTGGACCGGAGGAATCCCAGGTGAGGTCTCCAGCCCCCCGGGTAGCGGGAAGCTGGGGCGGGTGAGCCAAGGAGGGGGGGACCAGGCAAGTCGGGGAGCTCCCTCCCAAGCCGGCACCTACCAGCAAGCTCTCCACGTTGATGGGCGAGCGAGGGTCTCGGATCAGCGCCTCCAGCTTCCTCTGGCGGCTCGCGCCCGCCCCGTCCCCCGGCGCGGCTTCAGGGGCGCCGGGCATTTTCCCCGTCGGCGGGGGCCGGCTCATGCCGCTTCGCCGGGCCTAGCGCCGCCCGCGGAACCTCCGCCCGGGCCCGCCGCGCGCCGCTGTCTGAGGAGCCGCCCGGCCCGGCCGGGAGCAGCGAGGCACACGGCGTCCCCGCCCCTCAGCCGCACGCGCGCCGCCCGGCCCGTAGCGAGCTCGCCAGGACCCGGCGGGCGGGAGCGGGAAGGGGCGCCCGCGCCGCGCCGCCCCGCCCTCGGGGCTAGGGCCGCTAGGGCCGCCGCCCGGCCGTCCGCATGTCGCCGCCGGCCGCCTCGCGCGCACACAAGCCCGCTCCCCTCACACACACACACACACACACACAGTCCACACCGCGGCCCTCCTCGGCCGCGCGCCGCCGCTACCCACAAGCCCCTCCGCCCGCGGCCGGCCGCGCGCGCCCGCGTCCCCGCCCCGCCCACCCGGGCGCGTCCCCGCAGCGCGCCCCGCCCCCTGGCCTCCGGCCCTGCCCCTCCGCTGAGCTGCGCTCTGCGCTGCCGAGCTTCTTTTCCGCTCTTCCCACCCTCGGCCCCCCAGCCCCGGCCGGTCTCGCTTCCTCGTCTGGCCCGTTCCCGGGGCAGTGAGACGGGACTCGTGGCAGCGCCGTCCCCCGTAGTCCCCGCCGCGTGTCCCGCGTCGCCGGCCGGACCCTGCGGCCTAGCTGACGTCCTTGCCCCCCTCCCGCCTGGTCCATCTGACTCAGCGCGTAACTATGCAAGCCGCGCCGAACTCCAGCGCCCTGGGTCAGCGCCCTTTCCCGGGCCTGCTCGCCTCGGGCCGTGGCCTGGGGCTTCAGGGGGCGGTGAAGCCGCGCCCCTAGCCTGCGCTTAAAGTCGGGGACTTGCTCGATTTCTGAGTCCCCGGGCAGGGAGGCCTGAAGGAGTTGCTCCCGCCTCCGAGGCACTGATCTTGGGCTTTCCCTTTGTGCCCTTCCCTGAGCACGGTGTCCGCCTGGCTCTAGACCTTAGACCCTGGCCAGGCTAAGGGAACGGGAGGGCAATGGGGAAGCGCTTCTGCATTCACAGGGGCCTTGCTTTGGGGCTGAAAGAGGGGCTGCTTCTCAGCATTCCTGCCCTCTCGATGCCCTGGAGCCATTGGTCAGATCTTCTCCGGGCGCAATCTGAAAACTATGTGCCAAGAGCTATAAAACTGTTCACAGAGCCCCTTTGACCCAGTAAGCCCATTTAAGGAAGTCCAAGTGTAAGGAAATGATCCAAAGAGGGGAGGACTTTGCGTGGAGATGTTTACAGCTGGGCTATTCAGAATGTTCCTAATGACCAAAGCCCTGGGAGTGGACTGAATCGGCCTGCAACTAACTGAATAATCCAAATAAACTCTGTCACATCAGGGAAGAATCCTGAAGGTATTTCAGGCCAGTTAAAAATGAAGGAAGAAAATGTACCGGAAGTTAAAAATACAAAGGGGGATCGTGAACACTCTGAAATGAGTAACTAAACAAATGAAAACACACTTGTTCCTAAGTGGATGGGATTTTCCCCCCTTCTAAAGCTAAGGAGAGCGGCGGTGGCACAGGCCTTTAATCCCAGCACTGAGAGACAGAGACAGGCAGATCTCTGAGTTCAAGGCCCGCGGTCTACAGAGCGAGTTCCAGGTCAGCCAAGGCTACACAGAGAAACCCTGTCTGGAAAACAGCAGCAAAAAGATGTTAAGAATTGTACTGAATTTCAAAACTTGAAAAACTATACTTATTGAATGGGTCACTCTAAGAGAAGCTACAAGTGTAATACCCCTAAATCCTGAGACTGTAAGGCTCGCGTAGGTGTCAAAGCTATACCTGCAGATAGTCTCCAGCCCTGGCTTTGTGAAAACCGGGCTTTACCATAGCATCATTCCAGGAACGTCTCTTCTTTCTGTGTGAAGTCACTCTGACTTGGACTCAGGCAGGAAGAGGCCCTGGATGACTCAAGAGAGAGCCCTTTCTGTTGCAGATAATAGAACTGCCTCTGGTCAAAAAAAAAAGTAGAACTTCAAGCCAGTAGGTGAATTTACTCTCTCAAGCCTCCACAGACCCAAGGCAGGAGGGTAGAGCCAGCTAACTGCTCCTCCCAGTAGTGCACTGGAGCAAAATAATTAGGTATTCATGATTAAGAGGTCCTTTTCCTGGTGATAGTATAATAGGTTTTCAATAGGAACACTGTGATCTTTAGGGTTACAAATTAAATTTTGAAATGACCAGCTATATGTTTGTATGGACTTTGGTGGAGTAGCATGGTCTCCAGCCTTGGGAACCTTGTTTTAAAAGAATAGTAGTAGCTAGGTGTGGTGGTGCGCGTCGGTAATCCCAGCACTCAGGAGGTGGAGGCGAAGATCAGGAGTTCAAGGCCATCTTTAGTTACTTAGCAAGTTCAAGGCCAGACAGGACTACTACCAGAGAGCCTATCTTAAAAAAAGAAAGAAAGAAAGAAAGAAAGGAAAGAAAAGAAAAGAAAAAATAGGAAGCTGTGACAATGGCTGGGTCAGTAAGTGCTTATCTTGCAAACATAAGGACCAGAGTTCACTCCCCAACACCCATGTAAAAAGTCTCCCACGTACCTAAGTCTGGGTTCTGAAGAGGAAGACACAGCAAGATCCCTGAGGCTTGCTGGCCAGCCAGCCTAGCCAGATTGAGCTCCAGGTTCAGTGAGAGACCCTATCTCAAACAAATGAATACGGTGTGGAACAATGAAGAGAGACACTCGGTGTCAATCTCTGACCTCCACGTATGCCAGCACACACATGTATATGTGTACATGACTATATGCATACACACAAAACACAAAAAAGTAAATAAATAAAAGGAACAACAAGATGTGCATACTTTTATGGAGAGCCATTAGGTAAGGAAGACCAGAGGGGGCTGTTGTGATGAGTCAGAGGGTAAAGATGCTCACCAGCAAGCCTAGTGATCTGAGTTCCATCTCAGGAACCATTCCACAGAGTTGTGCTCTGACCTCCACACAGGCACCCACACACAGATGTCATGCATAGACACACACAATGATAAGTAATTTGTTTAAAGATATTTACACACAACCCACACCATTGCCTGCCTGGAAGACAAGATTTGTTTCTTGATAAGTAGTAAACCATCCTCAGTTCGTCTCTCTTCTAATTAATTTTTGGTCAGCATGATCATTCTTATTTACAAAAGGAACACACATATGAAATCTAGCTAAAAGTTCAAACAAACCAGAAATACATAGACTATAACCTGAAATTTTGTCTTCTAGTGTTTACTCGCACACTATTCTAAGTTTTTATTTTATTTTATTAGACAAAATGTCACCTAGGAACCCAGACATCAATGAACTTACTATGTAGCCCAGGATAGCCTCTAGATCACGGTCATTCTATTCCTAACATCTACTGCCCAGGAGTCCCTTCTAGACCTTCTGACACTTTGTGGTGTTAATTAAAGGTACAGGGATCTCCCTTTTTATCTATCAGAAAACCACATCCTCATTTCTAGTCGTTTTGTTTTTAATTTTAAAAATTGATTGTGTTTTCCTTTCCACTAATTTCTAGTCTTTAACTTCAAGGATCTATTTCTTCACAGGAGTAAATCCTCCTGCCTCAACCTCCCAAGTGCTGGAATTGCAAATGCGAACCATCATGTCTGGTGCTGACTCTTCTTTCACATGCCTGATGTTGTCACTCAAAGTTTTTACATATTCTCATAGATAATTATTTATATATATTAATTATTTGCATACACACACACACATATATATATATCCTTCATGTACATAGAATGGCACCATATCATAGTATTTTGCAACTTTATAATCCATCCCCCATTATTGTGTCCTGGTACATGCCCACATGTGTAGACGGAAAAATCCTCATTTTCTCACTGCTGTACTCTGTCCCACAATATGAGAATGCCATCCTATATTTGCTGTATTCATTAGTATAACAGCTGAGGACAGTCTGTGGAGAACAACTGCCTGAGCTACCTGCCACTTCTAATGTCACCTGTGTGATCCCAAGTAAATTGCCTAACTTCTCTGTGTCTCAGGGTCCTGAGTGCTAGCCTTAAATAAATGTCTTCAAGTCACCGCTTGACACTGTTGTACTTTTGCCTTTGTGTGGAGATAGATGTGATAAGATTAGTTCCTGAAAGCAGAAGACTTAACAAAGTGTCCTCCAAAGTCACAGCTACTGCAGAAAGGCTGTGGACTAGCAGCCAGCCAGTGGTGGCACACACCTTTAATCCCAGCACTCCAGAGGCAGAGGCGGACAGATCTCTGAGTTTGAGGCCAGCCTGGTCTATAGATACAGAGCTAGTTCCAGGACAGCCAAGGATGTTACACCAGGAAACTCTGTCTCAAACAAACAAACAACAACAACAACAACAACAACAACAACAAAAAGGCTGTGTGCTAGCAAGGAGCTGAGCAGGTAGAAGAGTGTCTTGAAAGTCTGACCACCTTCCAAGAACCAAGTCTACAGCACTGTCCTCTGACCTTCACCTGCGTGTCGTGGTATATGTAGGTACACGCACACACACGCACACACACACACACACACACACACACACACATCAGTTCACGTTGTCAACCATCCTTTCACTTTTGCCAATTTGAAGTATTATAAATGTTTTATAAATATTATAACATTTATAAAAATTATAAATTGTATCAATGAAGTGATAAACTGTAATGGTGTTTCCTTTTGCATTCTCTTCATTACTACTGGCCATGAGTATTTTGGATGCCCACTTCTTCCAAACTTGTCTGTTTCCATCCTTTCTCAGCTTTGTCT